CTACTCGAGTCTTATGAAACTTCTGTCAAGTACTGTAGCGTGAAAATTCGACACGCGCTAATATTGCGCAAGAGCATAAATTGAAGATGACGTAACTGACCAATCGCCGAATCGCGAACAATAATTATATCGGAACGAACAAAGCGCGGCCAAATATAACCCACAAGGTTTGATAGCTCTTGATAAGGTGACCTCTTTTTCGCAATTGCCAAAAAAAATAAGCTGGTAGACTTAAAAAAAAACGATAAATTGCCCTGTTTTACCTGCGACCCTATCTCTTTCCTTTTTGGAATATTCTGCTCCCAATCGATTCTGTTCGAATAGCCCAGTCTGGTCTGGCGATTGTGTTTTCAGACTTTTTAAAATTGAGAAAATGTGAAACATTGTGAAACATAGCTGTTACAAAACGAAGAAAAAAAAAACGAAGAAGAAAGACAAAAGGTCGAAAAGCCAATTTATCGAAGTCCTCCAGAACTCAAATTAAAAAAAAAAACAAAACAAAACAAAATAAACAAATCACAAATCTTTTTTTTTTCTAAATGGGTGCGCGCATTTTTTCACCTTACCTAATGTCGTCTAGGAGAGGAAAATAATTGAGACTATTTAATACATTACCGCGGTTGGAAATGATAGAATTAAGAAAAATTGTTTATTTGGGCTTTGAGAATCATTGAAGGTTGGAAATGAACTTAAGTTGTGGTAGACTTTTTATCCGTATCCAAGGAAACTAAACTTTGAAACAAACTGCATGTAATAAGCAAGAGCGTAATTTCTTGATCGGATAATCTCTTCATAAAACAAGAACAGGAACTGAAACAATCTTCATCCGCTTAACTTCACGGTTACACAGACACATTATGACATACTCTCAACCCGTTGTGAGAATATTTTCAGGTTATACAGCTAGCAGAAAATCACATGAAAATAAAACTTTCTCCCACGCGAGAAAAAAAGAAAAACTTAATTAGGCGTAAATCCTGTACATGTCTATATTATTTTGGAGAAGAGTGGCATTTTTTGTTTAGTCAGCTTGGTACATAAGTTAGGCTGCGTAGGCTGCTTCCCCTACTGACTTTCCGCCTAACCTGCGGGTTTGCGCTTATAATATTAATGAGCTTTGCTTGTTTTGTTGTCCTATATTAACAGCCGTCCAACATCACACAATTGCAGCTATATTGGTGTGTAAAACCTGAATACTTAATGAGCTCGAAGGGGTTTCCTCTTACAGCTTCTTACAGGTTATGTTGGAAATGAAAAGATGACGGATTTATCAACCTTGCGTACAAAGTAAGGATATCATTGTAAAGCTCTTGCTGAACTGTCCTAACTATGACGTCATGTGTATTGCTAGGTAACCATAACACCTCGAAAATCACCTCGAAAGCCAGTTTTTTTTCAATTATCTCTGAAACCAAGAGACCATGATCACTCAGTTTCTCTTGCTGAAACTAATTCGATGACCAATCATGTTTATTTAATTTGTGATTTTTAAAACTTACAATATTCTTCACTATCTTTGTGAATTAGTAATGTTGATGGAACTGGGCCAAGGGAGTACAATGAAGGGAGTAAACTGCAAGTTATTTCAAAATCGGACCGGCATGTATTGCAGGTTATTGACCAAGCGTGAGGTCAATATGGCTGGATATTGGCCAAGTTCTTTTTTTGCGTGTTTATTGACCGAGACAGAGTCGAGGATCATAAACTCGGGCAATATAGCGCCATCTTGCCGGCTCGGATAGCCAATCACAGTACAAGATTTGGTTCATCTTCCTGATATTATCGTATCAACAACGAATCAATAAGAATTCTTAAACAACTCTTTTGTTTTTCAAACAGTAGGGAAAGAATGAAAGAGCACGTAATTGACAGGCGAAAGGTGTCATTGGATACCAGAAGTAGAACACTTAAAGTCAAGTTTAAAATTCAATGTATCGAACTTGCCCTTTGTTATTGTTATAAAATCAACGCTATGAGTTTTTCTGTAAAATATGTGTCAAAGCAGATTGACGTAATGCTGAAAGTTGCTCGCACGAAAGATCTTGGGACAGGTCACTGCGCAAAATTCTGATCTAAATGGCTTAAAAAAAGGACATGTTTGTTTTCTTTTCTTGCGATTTTACTAATCACTTTCATTTTTAACAGGGTTAACTTGGCTAATGAAATTTGGGTCTACTTCTTCACGCGAGACATCTTTGTTGGCGCTCATGAACAGCTTGCGCAACTGGAAGGATTTTGCGCGAGTACTGTGTTTCATGGGAGAGACGAGAGGAATTAATCAAAAAAAAGATCACTGCTTTCAGCCTATCCGAAATAATAGGTCACTTGTGAACCAGTTATTCGAAAAACTCAAGAATTTCCCAACATTCTCCTATGGGTTATTCAAAACCCCCGGGTCAAAACCCAAGGAAACCCAGCTTTCTCTTCGAGACTTCGCCGCTAACTTGACTCCCGTGCAAAATCTCCTCAGCTTCCTAGGCAACGCGAATGTGGTTTAGCGTGGTCTGTACTCTCATCGACAACGATACGCGTCATCACAGTAGTCAAAATGTTGTGGACTCACTCGGCTGCACCTCGCGAGTCCACAACAAATTTAGCCCACTAAGATGACGCATAAGGTTGTCGATAGGAGTAAAGACAACGCTAAACCACGTTCGATTTGTTTTTTTACCACAATATCAACGTCAAAGAAAATGTTTTTTTCAGAGCGTGACGAAGAGCGTGACACATTGACGCGATCGGCGTACGTTGTCTGGACTTTTATCGACAACGGTAAATTAGCCAATCAGATTGCGAGATTAGTGGCAATTGTGGTGAAAAACCCTTTCGAGCCTCCGTAAGTTGATCATTCGAATCGAACTTTTCTTAACATGCATACACACTGCATAAAAATACTGTCTCAAAATAGAAGAGAAAAATTAGTTTGTTCGACAAACGCCTTTAAGACTGCTGTCAGCCACTGTTTGGTCCGACAAGTGATTACCCGCGAAGGAGAATGCCTCACCCTTAAAAGTCTGGCCCGTCTAATGTTTATAAGACGGTTCTTATAACCACACAGGAATTCAAGTGCTTGTCACGTGCTTTCAAAATAAGCCTGTGGATATACCACCCGGGTTCATTTTTATTTTAATAAGTCTAGAACTCTGTCTGTCACGTTTGTTCGTTTGAACACAAAGACGTTAAACAAAATAGACGGTGAATGAACTTAGGTCATCAAAAGTTGTTGAACATATTCCGTTATGACAACATTCAAATGCAAAATTGATAAGCTCTAAGCTTTAGCTAGCTACTGATGCAAAACGGTATGGATTGTTCAGTCTGTTGGCGAAATAGGTGTTTAAAAACCAGCTTTCAGTGAGGTAGCAATTCCAACTGAAGACAAGTCTGTCACCGCATTAATATTCGCATTTAATAAGTTCAGTAACTTTGTTCCAAGTGCAACTGAAAACAGACAATAAAGCATTCTGTTTGTGTTTTAACTGTTTTGTTCCCCCAAATTTAAAATAACTCTTTGCCTAAACACTGTTTGAAAACTTGAGGAAAGTTCACTTTTCAGTGATACTAAACATTGCGCTGGGTGCAAGGGAAGTGACATCGGTTAATGTTCCCACAATAACTATTTCTTTCAACTCAAGAGCTCGGGCTTTTTAAACGACTTAAAGGTTGTAAAAAAGGTTTTTGTGGCATAATCTGCAGATTCCGTGTCGTCTTGCAGTTGTTTATAGAGTAAAACAGGAAGTTAAACAAATTCCATATTGTAGGGTTGAGTCTCTTCTAGTGTTCATTGTCACGCAATAACAAATAAAATCAAAAACCATTCAGTGGATAAAGTCAAGAAACTGTGATATTATAGACAATAAATGAACAAGACAGTTCTCCAAGTTTAAGATGTGTGCGTTGTCTCAAAGTTGAGATATTCGTCGAAATGTTCCGGGCAAAATTATAGTGCCTAGTCCTCCAATATGGCGGCCGGAGAATAGTGTAAACATCTGGAACTTACTTTGGCAATCTAGTCGACTGATTATCTGAGCCGAACCAAAAAACATTTACACAAGCACTTTTCCTAATACTTTAACTCCTAAAATAGCTCAAAATCACGAGATATGTGTATATTTTTCGACAAACGCGATCTAGGCTTTACTTTCACGCACCGTCATGACTCCGAAATTCAAAATGCGATGGTTTCCAAACGAAGGACGCTACTGAGCTGGAAAGTTGTAAACAGATACAAATTTAGTACCTCTTATGCCTGATGAGCATAAAATCTTTAGGTGCTCTTTAGTTTTGGATATGAGAATTTGATGACGTCACGTGAACACACTCTATAGGCTGCACAGACCATGATACATGAAAACTAAATACAGTGAAATCCCGCTCTACGGACACCCGCTTAATACGGACACCTGCTTCTACCGGACAGTTTTCTTTGTCCCGACAACTAAAAAGCTCATATATTTTCTCTTAAATTAGCCCACTTAATACGGACACCTGGATAATGCGGACACTTTAT